AAATTTATTCGCGTTTCATAAATGAACTGCTGTGATTGTAACTGCGCTTAATATCATAATTAATGTTAACAATACCGGTACGTAACGGGCTGTTACAGCCACACTACGTTGGTACCAAGGAACCTTTGCCTTCACCATGAAGAAATGCATCCTACAAGCATACACCTCGACTACTATATAAACATACGTTGTACCACAAGGTACGATCATCCTTTACTTTCACAATATAAACACCTTCCTCTGATACTGACTTAAGCATCGGAGTGTCTTCGCAGGTATCCCCCATCTGGAGCAACGTGAAGGACGAAGGACAAAGAGCTCAGGCTCATCCCCCAACAGCAATACCAGGCCCAGGCCAGTAACCTCTCAAAGAGTCTCAACCGTGTGTGATTTGGGCTTAATACGCATTGGGCCATCCCATCCGTATCTGGTCCGGTCAGTGACATATGTGAGTGAATCTTGTTTTTCTTTTTAATATGATTTTGAGGAATGAAGTATGAGTGAGGGAAGTCTTATATTGGTTAAGAATAGATTATGTGTGTATTATATAAGTGGAAGGATCCATATATCTAATGCTTTAAGATTTTGGGTTTGATTGTGGTGTCTAAATCCACTTAATATCATTACTCACTTAGTCTACGTATGACGGTCTCCTCCTGCCATGAGCTCCCCCCACCTGCCCAACAAATGATATCAAAGTCAATGATGAATTGGCCCATGGTGATCGAAGTAATTTGAAGATGCTAGCCTTAATGGAAGAATCAATGTTTATAGGAAGACCTTCGTGAGCCATAATTCAAACCAAATCCTCGAGGTGTGCGGAAGAGTATAGTTTGCTTCTGAAAACATGTTGGTTGCTTCTTGCTTATCTAGTAAGCCTATACTGACAAAAAGACTAATCATTAGGTGGTACTCACTCAGCAGTGATTTTTCTGTCCATGTAGTTTTGGTTTTGTCAACTTTTATCCCTATTTAATAAGCAGAGATAATATCACGATAATTATTCTGCTGTTTCACTGTCTTCCAATTCTCATCAGGGCATTTCTACTTTGCCGTCCATATTAGCTTTCCAGTGAAATACCATTGTTTTTCCCCCCTTTCCTTTTACCTTCTGAAAAGAATTTCAGGGACAACAGGGGAACTGACAAATTTGAAACTATTAGAAACAGTATAACCGCAGAATAAATAACATGACACATAAAATGGTCATGAGTATGAGGAGAATCATTGTTCATTTTGTATGCTATATCCCAAAGTTCTTTACAACATCAAGAACTGCATTTGCAGAAACATTTCGAGGCCTCGATTTGAAACCTGGTGGATATCTATGCTTCATATAGCATGTATCCACCGTGTGATTGGTTCTACCGCAGTATGTGCACAGTCTATTTCCACGTGGCTTTGGACCTTTCTCTTTAGTGAAGTTACCATTTCGACGACGCTGATCTGTAGAATAAGCTCTTGGTTCCATGACAGCAGATCCATGAACTTCAGAATTAAGCTGACGTTCTTGTTGTGTAACAAGTGAAAACGCCTTGTTCATGTTAGGTAATGGTTGAATCAACATGATTTATGAACGGACGTGTGTGAACTGATCATTCAGGCCTTTGAGGAACCTGATTACCTGATCACGTTCTCGTCCAGGTCGCATCTCATCAAGAGCTCCACAACATCATCTTGGCAAAGGACTGAGATTGTCAAACTCATCACACAGTGTCTTCATTTCTGTGTAATAATCAGAAACACTTCTATCTCCCTAATGCAGACGTTGAATCTCATCTTGAAAATCCGCAACTCTAAACACATCATATTGGGAGAATCGCTCAGAAAGGTCACGCCACACATCAGCAGCATATTCGATCCATAGAATGGACTTCAAAATTGATTCATCAATGGAACGATGAATCCAGGACAATACCATTGTATTGCATCGTTCCCAGACTGGGAACAGAGGATCTTGATCATCGGGAGGAGTAAAACTTCCATACATGGTTGCGTGCCATGAAAATGGCTTTGCTTTCGAAAAATAAACTTTGAGGTTCTTATCAAGTGGTATCAAAACTTGAGTGACTCCTCACCGCCCCCCACTTTAAAGTGGAATTAAAATAAAAAAAAAGCACAAAAAGGTAAACCAAAAATTGGGCCTGTGCAATTTCCACGCTTCTAGCCCAAAGGGCTCTTGCGTGAGGGGGCATGTTAAGATATATAGTCCCACATTGTTATATGAGAACCTAACGTGGAATTTATAAGGTCTTGGGCACTCCCACCCTTTGAGCTAGCTTTTGGAGTGGTGTATCCCAAGGTCCTTTAGATGCTACTTATTGTCCAATACAAAGTTTGGAGCGGAGAATACAAAGGAATAGCATGAAAAATCATGTTCACATTCTGTGGAGCATTAATGCAGTAAAATATAACAGCTTGCCAATTCTACTTCCCCCGCTAGGATTGTTCTCTTATGGCACGAAATTATTACTAATGAGTTAAATTATATTAATTATAATAAGTGGATCGGATATAATATGTCAACTCAAAACCTTAAAACAATCAGTCTATGGATCCTTCAGTTTATATGCAGTCCACTTAGTTCATGATCAACTTACATGGAACTCCATAGCACTTGAATAACCGAACAAAATTCTGGGCTGCAACTCCTTGATTTTGCATTTTTTGGCAACAACTTAGATTCTGCCATTGTGGAAAAGACTACCTTCCTTGATCCTGCCCAAGTGAAAAAGCTTAAAGGGGTTTTTGCGAGTATTGGCTAGGTTTGTGTTAATGAATTGCTGTTTTATCCAAACCAATGTTCCTGTTTGGTGTTAGGTTCTAAGTTATCGAATTCCACCAATAATTGCCAGTAATAAAATGTTTGTGTGATTCCCTTTAATTTTACATTGCTCAGTTCCAGTCCCAAATGCCAAGATTCCAATATTGCTATTGTTTGAATGTTTCCCAAATGATGGGAATTAAATTTTAATGTATTGTCATCAAACTTTTTATAGCAATAAAGTAGCTTGATTGTTGGGCTGCTTCTTCTCTCTATGTAGAAAAAAATAAAATAGTTTGATTGTTGTCATCATGTTATAAAAACAGGCTCATATAGGTTGGTTCAACACGTGAATTAATGAACCCATCATATAACTAATCCGGAGAGAGCATAATAAAATGATAACTTTAAACAACCGTTATAAACAGGCTTGACTTCACAATAAAAATCGTTACCTTCATAGAAAACCAGACAAATCATGTGTTTTTTATTTTTTTTATACTGATTCTAATTATCTCTTTTAGTAGAGCCGGTTTTCAGTATTCCTATAAGTTTCAATTCTTTGAACTGACCATGAGTCTAATACCGAACTGGAGCTTAGTCACATTTAAAGCTTTTTGTCTTTCTCTAAAATTATATTTGATGTAAATCGAACTCAGTTTCTCTCACCACTCTATTGATCATGTATTTTTATATTAACTCCCAAACGTTGTTTGTCAAAACCAAAACCATTTGTGGGCTTGAAGTAGTGTGCTTGAGGTTTCGGTCCACTTCCACTTTACTTAAATAAATATATTTTTTATGGTGTGGCATCGGGCAAAGTGTATGTCATTTTAAAGATATAAAATTGTTTCATTTTAAAAAAAAAAAAAAAAAGATAGATAAAGGTGGAGAGAGAGTTGACAAAAAAAATTAAGGTGTGGGCCCTACCTCTTTGTGAGAATGAAATAATATAAGTTGTGTTATTTAAAAGGATAAATATTTTCCCCAAATTTAAAATGATAAAATACAAAAGTAATAATGATAGTTATCCATGACACTCTCGAAATTGTGTTAGACTAAATCATGGTATATATTCATCTAGTTCTAATAATTCAACTAGTGATCCAGCAACCTGATTGACTCAATTTTATAAAATTGGTGGCAATAACTATAAAAATGTAGGAACTTTTAGTAATATAATAGTACAGAAATATCATTAACAATAAATCAAATTAATACTCATTTAGCGCTTGTTTCTTTCTATTACACATTTTACCTTTGTTGCCATGTTTTTATTAGATTTCTCTCAATAAAATTTACGTTTAATTACATTTTAGTCCCTGTATTGGGAGTAATGTTAGACTGGTTAGTGAACAAGAAACTTCAGTAAGATGCTTGTCTCCATGTTAAAACTATCCGAAGGGGTTCTTAATTTTGCAGTACTTTGGGCCTTCTATTAACAGTTGAAAGTCTAAACTTAACAGACTAGTCCTTTGATATGAATGCAAGCAATATAAGGTCGTGTATACAGAATGATACTGATAAGATATCTTAGCTGGAATGGCTTTCCTCTTATCCACAAATCTACATGATTCCTATTGAAAGAACAGTATTGCTTTTAGCTGTCAAAATGTCTGCGTATGAGCTTCATCTTCTTCCCCACGTGATGTTGGACCACATCCTAATTAGTTTCCTTTTCAGGTCATTATGTAATAATTTTTCTTTAGTGCTTTGAAATTATCTCCTTATTCGACAAAATTAAGGAAAATAATTGCATTGTCTGTGAGCTTTATAATAATTACCTGATTGACAAACATGACAAAATTGTGGTGGTTATCTCAACATGATGTACATTGACTGATATGTTATAATTACTAACAATGACTTCAGAATTAATATAAACCTTTTTCACTAAGACAGAAACTTTGACTTTAGCACCTAAATATATTCCCTACGTACCTATCTAATTAGTGCCTTATTTACTCGCCAAATGGTTTAATTATGAAAATGACTTTTTTTGTTCTCTGTCTAATTCTACTGGGGGGACCTTATCAGCAGGAATTTTCTTTACAATCCATAAGTTGTTATCATGGCTCCCATTTTGCAGTTGGCAACTTGTCATTACTCACTGCATGAAAATATCTTAAGCCTCCAACTTGCAAGAAAAGTTCCTATATATAATATAACAATAGCATTATATAGCTACACAATCTTACATTCCCAATATTCAAGCCAATATTCTTATAGGACCAAGATGCTTCACATTGTTTTACTTCTTTCTCTTCTCTTATCCACTACTTCCCATGCTTCTGTGCAAGACTTTTGTGTAGCAGACCTCATGGGTTCAGAAGGCCCTGCAGGATTTCCATGCAAGAAAGCTGCTACAGTAACTTCGGATGACTTTGTGTTTTCTGGCTTAACTGAAGCTGGAAACATCTCAAATTTAATCAAAGCTGCTGTGACCCCTGCATTTGTTGCTCAATTCCCAGGTGTTAATGGTCTTGATTTATCAGCAGCACGGTTAGACATTGCTCCTGGTGGTGTTATCCCATTGCACACTCATCCTGGTGCCAATGAACTACTAATAGTGAAGCAAGGTCATATCACAGCAGGGTTTATATCATCATCTAACTCTGTTTATATAAAGACACTGAAGAAGGGAGAGCTTATGGTTTTCCCACAAGGTTTGTTGCATTTTCAAATAGCTGCTGGTAAGACAAACGCTGTTGCTTTTGCTGTTTTCAGTAGTGCAAACCCAGGCCTTCAGATACTTGATTTTGCATTGTTTGCAAGCAGCTTCCCTACTCCTTTAGTGACAAAGACTACTTTCCTTGATCCTGCAATAGTGAAGAAGCTTAAGGCTGTTCTTGGAGGCAGTGGCTAGATTTATGCTTATGAATTGTTATTGTTGTGCTGATCTATCCATTATTCCTTGTGTTGTTTCAATTCATTAGACTTGGTCTAGGTGAATTCCTTGTGCCAATGTGGAGTAATAAATTTGCGTGTTTGATTTTAATTTCCATTTTTCTGTTCCAAAACTAAACGTAATTAAGATTTGAGTGTAGCTATGTTTTGAAGGGTTTGGCAATTAATGTCGCTGGAGAATCTTAATTTCCAATCTCCCGGGTTGATGCATACTTTTTTTAAAAAAAGAAAAAAGAAAGAAAAAAGAAAGACATGATTTTTAATGTTTCGCTCGTATAAGAGAATTCTCTTCGCTAACGTAAGATAATTTAAACCCATATATATATATATATATATATATATATATATTTGTGTGTAGATGCAGAATATTCTTACACCAGTGTAAGAGTTAGAAATCTTACCTTCAATCTTGATCATTGATCACCCAATGACTTACATTACTAAAAAATTAGAGCCCTTAGATATAAGTGGAATCAATGATCAACATTGAGAGTAGGGGTGAAAGTGGGCTGGGCTGGGCCAAGCTTTGCCCCGAAAAGCTCAAGCCTACGTAAAAAAATTTCAATTTAGCCTGGCTCAAGCCTAGTATGAGTCTAACTGTTAGCCTAGTTTGGCCTGTTTATAAAAATATAAATGGCCTGGCTTGGCCCGTTAGCCTGTTAATTTTTAACTTCTAAGCATAACCATGAATCAACTTTACAAAGTACTCAAATTCTGTTGCTACACCAAAAATCATAATTTCAACGTCCAAGCAGAATCATGAATCATAACAAAACTAATACAATATGCATTTAAGTCATTTTCAAAAGCAAAATGCTCAAACTAAATAACATATATTTCATCAGATAAACAAATCCATACTATGTAAATTAAAATAACTATATGAATCCAACAAACACATCATGATGCTTGTAGAAAGTATAACCTCTCCCAAAAATCTTTTAATATATTCATATACACAATCTAACATGTTGAGATGTTGGTTCCTCCTATATAAGAAATAAAGTAAGATTTTTATTAAAATATAATCGAATATAATTAAGTTATAAATAATTGCAATTGATTAAATTTATATCTTTATTTTTTCTTCAAGACATACTTACTCTATTTTATTTTATTTAAAATAAATAGTACAATATAGGTCACCCTGTAGGCTTATAGGCCCGACCTTTTGAAAGTGAGCCTACGGCCTTCTTGTTAAACAGACTTTTTTAAAGCCCGAGCCCGGCCTATTATACAAAATATACTAAGTCAGGTCTAGCCTGATGTAGGTCGAGCCGTAGGCCCGGCCCAGTTTCACCCCTAATTGAGAGTGTAACTTACACTGGTGTAAAATGATCCTGACCCATATATTATTAATTTAATGTATGTAAATTTCACTACAAAGGGTTGATTTTATAACAAACAAAAATGAGTAATATACAATCAACCCATGTGACTCTATGTAATAAATGAATCTAAATATGGTTTTCAATTTCATCTTTTAACCTTTTATAAACTGTACATTATTATAATGCCGTAAATGTATTATTCTATTATACATTTATAAATTGTTTTCTTACTCTTAGTCTTGCAAGATCTAACCATAATAATATTTGAAAAGTTTTCAATACACATTTTTTTTTTTTTTATAAAACAGAAAAATATAATGAAAATATGCCATTTTGAAACTTCAGTACATTTTGTCCCTTTTCCATACTCTTTATTACTCTTTGTGGGCTCCTTATATGCTTCCCCGACGACTTAATCCGACTTAAAAAGTATAGTTTTGCCCTGATTAAGGAAGGACCTCAATTACTCAAACTTACTTTTTTATTATTATCGTTTACTTTGGAAAAGGACTGATAAAAGCATCACATGCAATCGGGATTCTATCCAAAGATAGGCCATATGCAAGTAACTTGTTAAGAAAGTATGGGCTCTATATTGGGCTAGTAGTAAGCCACACAATTCAAAACTGTTTTCCTTTCTTAAGATTGATTCAAAACAAAAATAACAGTACGCAATAAAACTAAACGGCCAGATCTACAAAAATTATGAGTGAAGAATTTAAATCAATAAAAGATACTATCAATGTGTAAGTTTACGTTAAATCAAATCTTCATATTATGAGTAATACTATCAGAATTTCAATGTTTAAGTTTCTAAATAAAAATCTAACAACACTTTAATTTCAATATGTATATAAATCATCTGGTATCCGATGTCTTATAAAACAATATTAAAATTCACATCCTATACTATCACGCACTTATATATATATATATATATATATATATATATATATATATATATATATATATATATATAATATGATTAATTTAAAATTAATTCATCATCTAATATAAAAATATTATCACAAAAAACTGAATTAAAAAATAATCTAACGACACTTATAATTTTAGTAAAAAAATAATAAAAATTCATTGAAAGAGAAAATAAATATAATCTTTAAGTAAAACTAATCCATAATATGTAACTTTACTTATAGTCAATAGTTATAGATTACCAAAAAAAAAAAAATTAGTTATAGATGACGATGTATTTTTTTATTATCCAAACTGATTTATAACGTATTTTTATATAAAAAAGTGTGACATAATTAGTTCTATGAGAAAAAATGGTAAAAATTTAGAATATACTAAACCAAAAATCAGACTTAATATAAACTAAACTTTATACATAATTCAAAAAAAAGTATAATATTTTAATAATTTATCAGAGAAAAAGAAACAAAAAACAAAGATGGCTCAATGACAACCTTTACAAAAGAAACACCCAAAAATTTATATTAAAGTATTACAATGTAAAGAAAAAGTACCACAAATAAGAGAAGGAACAAATTATAAAGCATGTTGATGATAAATGATAATAATTATTGTTATATATGAGTTTATTTTTCCTAAACACTACTTATGCATCCAGTTGTGTTTAATAATATTTTGTATTGATAATTTGTATATGTATTGAAATGGAGAATTTTAGTCAACCCAATCATTGTTGTTAAAATCTCGATTTATTATTACGATTTTACGTTTTTACGATTTTTTTCATCAAAACAATTTTAATAATATTTCAAATATTTTTACGCTTTTTTACGATTTTTTTACATTACGATTTTACGTTTTACGATTTTTTAATCCCCTTTCAATTTTACTTAAGATCTCGATTTTAACAACATTGAACCCAATCCGACCCTTGTCTGCTTTTCCTTCCCTCCTTTCTTTAAGCCACTTTTTTAGGGGCCTTCGGATCTAGCATACATAATGCATATATTAAGGAATACCTTAAGAAATAAATACTATTTTATCTATGAAGTAAAATAAAAAAAATTATGTTTAAATATTTTAGAATATAATTTTACAAAAATAATAGACAGACCTGAAGGCAATTATTATAAGTACAATATAAAAAAGTGTTTGTAATTTTTTATACTTTTATTTTAAATAAATGTTTATATTTTGATAAAAGTGAAACATTAAAATGAAATACCTCCATCAAGGGTTAGTATTCCATTTAGGTCTTATTTAACTTGCCTAAAAGATAATGAGTTGGATTCCCGAGAGTTATAGAAAAACTCAAACCCGAAATCCAATTAATTGGATCTATTTGAACTTTAGACATCGATTGATACCCATCAAACATAAAATAAATAAAAAAACCCTTTTATAATAATATATCGACTAATTACATCTAATTTTCCTTAATAAAAGTCTTTATGATTTTTAATACACATGAAGTGTGTAATAAGGAAAACTCTTGATAAATAAAATTTATATGCGGAATTCTCGAAGGCTTGGTTCATTAAAGAAAAAATTATTATATTAGTAATGTATTATGAATTTAATTTTGATTCACTCTTTATGTAAAATATTTTTACATTTTCATTATTAAGCTTTACAATTATATTTACTGATGTATTATTATATTATTTAATTAATTAAAAATATCATATTATATATTAATATAATTCAATGACATGTCAACACAAAATTAGATGATAGACTAAAATATTTTTATGCCAGCAATTCATCAATATTAAAATCATATACCGAATCAATTATAAAATTATGTGATTAATGTTTTTCATGTTATAGAAGATAATTTTATCTACTATATACATATAAAATGTATGAGGCCCATATTTTCTTTTTCTTTCCCTCACATGATCTTATATAGGTCTCATTCACTTTTATCTATGTGTAGGATATAAACATAATAAACATCAACCCCTAAAACTATTGATGACTTTTCTTTGTACATGGAGTGCATATCAAGGGAAATTCTTTGGTGAATAATTTTAATGGGGAAAGATCCGTTTACAAACTTTTTTCAAATTTTTACAAATTACACTATGTACTCCCAGAAGTACATGGTTTAACCAAGTGTACTTCCGAGAATACATAGTGTAGTTTGTAAATACAAAATTTATAAATATAATCCTCTCCATTTTTTTATATGGGGGATTCATGTAAGCATTCATTGATGAAAATATTATTTATATATCTACTATTGCTCAATCAATAAATATGTCACTATATGTATTAATCAAAAAAATGTCAAAAACTTCTTTTACTTTTGTTGTATCCATTAAAATCACAAACTATATTTATCTTTTGTTGGACAAATTACAGATTGTTTTGTGTTTTTGGTATGTTCAAGAAAAAAAATTAAAGTGGCATTAATTTTTCTCTTGTTACAAAGATAAAACTATCTTCTATAATCCCAAAACGACATCGTTTTGGAGTTTAAAAAAATAAATTGGTTATTTTAATAAAATTCTTGATACAAAATAAAAATAAATTTTCAAAATATCCTGAATTTTTTTTCTTTAAATCCCAAAATGATATCTTTGTAGATTGTTGAAGATAACTTATGGGTTTAATTTTCTGCCTGACAGAAAAAAGTTGCTTGTCACTCTCACAAAATAAGGAGTGAATCTCACAAAAAAAGAAGTGA